GCACACCCCTATACGCCACATATTTCGGATGTTCAGACCAGCTGCATAGAAACAATCCAATAATTTTCTAGTCAAGCCATAAAGAATATTCAAGACAATATTTAGATGAATATTCTAACTAAACCCTTCAAAGTATACCTGAAGAGTATCATTACTCTTTTACCTCTCATAATTTCAGATATCATGGGAATGGAGGATGTTTGTTGCTGCAAAGACAATCAAGGTGACCATCTTAAGTATTTCAGCCAGTACTGTCCTAGCAGTATGTAACTTAAGAACCCTAGAAACCAGATTGAAGCACTTCCTTCTTGGCCTGCCATCTGTCAATTTAAAAACTCCCTGGTATTTTCACTGGGGAGGGGCACCCCCACTCTGTCAAACTGGGTCTGTGCCTGATATAGCATCCTTTGCTTTCTATTTCTCTATAGCTTCAAAAAAAAAAAAAAACAGCTGTCATGTTTCATGGCTGACATAACAGATCTGTCACATAAGATATATGAAAGCACTGCAAGAGGAGTCATTCAGAGAGAAGCTAAGCAGTATTTGTCAAACACTGGCTGTCAGGCAAGCTATTGTAATTGGCAACCAGTGTGACATAAAATATTGCATGCATTTATTTACTACTGGGAACATCCCTTTGAAGAGTTGTATCACCCCTATGAGCCTTCCTGGCTTTTACGATCTTCTGGAGAAGCCCTTCTCTCAGTTCCACCACTTTCTCAAGCTTGTCTGGTGAGGACCACAAGAGAGGGCCTTCTCAGTGGCTGCTCCCAGGCTTTAGAATGTGCTGCCCCCAATTCAATAGGTTGAATTGGTTTTTTAGTATGATATTTATATGGTATTTTAAAACTGTGTGTGTTTTATAGTTTTATCTGTTGTGAATCACCTTGGGTTCCCTAAGAGGAGAAAGACAACATGCAAATAAATAAAATAAATAAATACAAGTCAACAGGAATAATGGCAGTGTTGCTCTTTATACAGAAGGTGGTGGGAAGAAAGTGTGAGCTTACTTGCACTTCTCTGACTCAATGCCTCCTATGATGAATTTAAGCCCATCTCTCTCCTTTAAACTTGAATGCCTCAGATGTACTTAGGTTAGGACTCAGATGCAAAGGAACAGTTTCATCCGAAGCATAAACAGATGCCACCCACTCCCACTTCCTCTGTCAACTTTGCATATCATATACACAGATGTCTAAAATTTAATGATGATTTCCCTGGAGTATCTCTAATCAAATTAGCACTGGGGTGCACACACCGGCCAACAGTTCTAGTGAATTCCTTACTATTTGGAAGTACATCATTATTACAGAAGAACTATGCTACTATGTCATTATAGACTGAAGAACAGCCCATTAGAGTCAATACACAAAATAGAATCATAAAATAATGGAGTTGGAAGGAACTTCCTGCTCCACGCAGGAATCCAAGTCAAGGTATATCTGATAGATGGTTGTTTAACCTTCCCCTCCAGCACTGGAGTGCTCACCACCTCCCCAGGTAATCAGCTCCACTGTTGTAATGCTCTAACAATAGAAAATTCTTCTTGATGTTCAGCTGAAATCTAGCTTCCTAAAACGTGAACCCAATAATACATTATGCCTGCCTTTTATAATTTTTACAATATCACTTCCGAATCTCAGAATCTACAACCATACTGCTTTTTCTATTCTTTATCCACATGCTATTTTTAATATAACTCATTTACATACTTCAGCATTTCAGACAATGGCTGAATGTTTCAATAACACAAAATCATTTATAACATGTGGAGTCAGTATCTGTCCAATGAGCCTTCTTTGTCTTTAAGATCTTCAGAGGAGATCCTCCTCTCGGTCCCATTGCCATCACAGACACATTTGATGGGGGAGATGAGGGCCTTCTCTGTGGCGACTCCCAGGTTGTGGAGTGCTCTCCCTCAGGAGAATAGGATGACCCCTTCCCTTTTATGGCTGAAGGCCCACTTCTTCAGGCAGGCTTTTAACAACCATAACTGAGTCTCGGAATGCTGGCTTTTAGCTAAGTAAGTTTGTTTTTAAAGTTTTAAATAAATCAATGTATTTTAATGACTGTTATAGTTTGTTTTTTTAAATATATAATTGTTTGTATTTTTAATTTTATTTTTAAAACTCTGTCAGCTGCATTGTAGTCACTTCATTTATATGTATGTGTTCGCAACCCTAGGATTTCCCCATTCCCATGATGACATTTTGGATACATGTGGATTCATGAGAATGAAACTGCTATTAATACCTAGATTTTTGTGTATATAGCACACAGCACAGCAATAACTGGTATGTACACAAAAACCTAGGTACAAACAGCAATTTCATTCTTGTGGATCCATATGCCACCAAAATGTCAACATCCAGACCTCAGGAAATGGGAGAATCCTATGTTTGGAGATACATGCTAGAGATAGAAGCTGGAAATTTGCAACTCCTGTCATCACTGTGTCTGTGAACTAAGGCTGGTCAGAGTTGCAATCCAATAATATCTGGAGGGTCATACCTTCCCCTCCCTGATTTACATTATGCAACCTCTTTCTAATAACTCAGGCCCAACCCAGATACTGTATTCCAATATTGTTTATTACTTCTGTACAGAGCAAACCATGTTCAGCATTTGATATTTCTGATGAATCTTTAATCTTAACCTTAGAACTGCAGAACTGGTAGGGACGCTATGTATTATCAAGGCCAGCCCTGTCAGGGAGGGAGGCACATTGAGGACTGAAACTCCCAACCTCTGGTTCCACAGTCAGATACCACTGAGCTATGTTATCTCAGCATCATTGCGATGCTTTGCCTCTTCTTTACTGTCTTCTCTTGTTTACATGAGCCTCTGCTCTTTCACAGGGTGTCCTCTAAGGTGAAAGGAGAGGCCAGAGGCTATATATAAATAAGGTTACCATTTAATAAAGAAAAGGGACTGCAGTTGGTTAGATGGCTCCTGAATCTGTGAACTACTAAGGTAGCTCAGGTCCTGGGGAGACACCTATTAGTTTTGAAAATAAATATTTGAATGCCTGCCCATTATTACTATCCACCCACCACACCCCCACCCCCATTCCACTATACCCAGGAATTAGTAGAAAAATTACCATTCAGAATGAAATAGGAACATATGCCCTGGCAGAAAACGACACCTGACAGGATCATTAGTATGAATATAACCAAACATGATTATTACTTCACGTAAGATTGCCAAATGCAATTTAAAGAAACAAACCATGGAAAAGCCCTTAGAAGAAGCTAAATATAAAAATTTCAAAGGCTTTGGTTCCGAAAGTCTAGAAGGCCAACAGGAAAAATAAATCAACAGCTGGTGCCACTTCTAATAGAAACCAGACCAAAAGTCTTGCCACAGGTTTGAGAAAACATACAAACCCATTTTCTTATAAAGCTAAATAGGGCATCTAACAGTAAATAAGAATATAGGGATCAAGCCAGTTTAAAACCACACTGGCAGAAAATGATGAAGAGAAATACTGTTGGATGTCTGAAGGTCTTTCTTGTGTTTTCTGCCAAATACTGCAGTGTTTGTAACTGGTACACTGCATGCCAGCTACATAATAACTACCATCTCTGGGACCTCACTAGCTACCAGATGGTTCATAGATATTTCATGGCTCAATAAGGACTATTTTACCTGCAAATGGACATCTGATAACTTAAGTGTTTATAAAGTACAGGCAATATATGGAAACAAATAACTGATAGGTTTCAGCATGCTGTTAAGCAACGTTGTTAGCAGCAAATGTGCCAGGTTTTGAAAGTCAAACATATTTAGCAGAACTGCCAGAAAGGAGAGAGATGAAAGGCAAGTTTTGAATGCAATGTCTGGCTTTAAGATCCTGCCTCAAGCCTACCATTAAAATCTGAATAAAGTCTGTGTGGGAAAGAGGAAGAAAGGGCGTAGGAGATGGGAGGATAATACAGTATGATAAATAATACTCATACAAGCCTGTGCTAGTTCAAAGATTTCATTAGGGGAATCATAGTTGTAACCAGAGAAGGATGGTTAAGTGGTAGAACCAGTATTCTTTGTGTATGGCTGAATATATGAAAAACACCCACACAGCAACCAACCTTAATTGTGTTTATGTTCTTAAGACATCTGCAGCACTACCGCCATCCATAAATTTGAGGCAGAGGGCCTGCAAACTTCACTATTAGATAACAGAATGTGTTAGCAGCCCAGAGTAGAGGTCTGAGGAGTCCCTTCTAATTAAACAATTTCACAGCAGATGTTTAATTCTTTCCTATGCACGTGTGAGCAAAAAAGGTATTCAGACGAAGTTGGAAAAGTCTCCTTTTGGAGTACAACTCCCAGATACTGGGAATCTGAGGTCTAAAAAGCCCTCTGGCCTCTAACAGCAGACACCACACATAGGAAGTGTCAATCGAGGCGGGAATCAGACTTCCGCAGCAGGGACTGAAAATGTTCAGAAACCCAAATAATGTTCTCTTAATTGTCATAAATGAGGAAACAAAGCAGCAAAGGAAGCCCACTAACTCCAGAGCCTTATAGGCCCGCTTCCAACTCTCTTATTCTAAGATTCTATTCTTACTTTTAAAGGGACCCGTCTGCCTTTAAATGTAAGAATATGCCATTAAGTAGTTCTGACCAAATGGTTTAAATAAGAGCCAATTTGTAATTACGAGGGGAAGGAATGTGTCACACTGGCACCTGTGCCTCACATCCACCATCTGTGCCCAACTGCTGGGAGACAATCTTCCTGGTGTCAAGACAGCCAGCACAACTGCCACCTCAGAGGGCGCAGGGCCCCTAATTCTACATTGTTACGTGTAAGTAGGTTTCTTTGCAGAGGATGTTTGAAAGAGAAGCCTCACAACAGGGCAAAACAGCACAAGGCCAGAACAAAATAGGCCTCTGAATTAATTAGGAAAGGGACATTAACTTCAATATTGTCCCTTAATACCTGTTCAAGTGCTTGTTAAGAATACAGTATATTGTTAAGTGGCAGTCACCACTGCAACAAAGAAATGCAGGCATCATATTTCTGCAACCCAAGAACACAAGTGCAGTTTTGTTAGCAGAGAGAGCCCGACAGACCTTGCCAGAGCAATGGGAATGGATGCCTTCAATGGCAAGCAAGAATCTCTTAGAGAGGACTCTGGAGACAGCAGCTGTCAGATAGTTTTCCACGCCTTCTGCCTCTAGCGAGGCCGCTGGTTTTTAACACATGTGACTCAACAGGCTCTCCTGTTAATATTTCATACAGCTTCCAGCCTCTGGTTATGCAAGATCATTATTATTAATTTCTGAAACAGAATTAGCCATGCATGTTTGCTTTCCTTGAGGGTACATTCCGTCAGAAAAGCAGAAGGTCAGGCAATCTTACCAACTGTTAGGGTGGTTTTAGCACTCTGAACTAGGCTGGACAATCTCACAATTCTCGAAATGCCTGAAAAAAGGGGGGGGGGAGAGGAAGAGAGAGAGAAAGGATAAACAAAAACAGATGTTATTCTTATTCTCATTATCCTTTCAAAGGGTTAAAAGCCAAATGTTTTTTCAGTAACACAAGAAACTCAGCATGGCAAATGTACATTCCCAGTAATTCCCAAACAAATACTGCTTATTTTGCATTTGTCAAATAGGTTCACATGTTCAGTCCAATGACTTTTAGATGCATCACACATACTGCATGAAAAATACTTCTGGAGACAAACTTGGATTTTGGTTACCATGAAATTGCTCAAGAAGAAACTGTAGCTGATTGCAGCTTTTTGCTGACATAATGGAGCTCCAGGCACTCTTTTGTAATCTGTCCATTTAGAATTTCTACAACATCCTTCAGATTCTGGGGGGTGGCATACAGCAACATATCACATCATGGTAAAATCCTGTTCACACCAATCTAACATAAAGTTACACTGGTGGAAGTGTGCTCGAAATTGCACTTGGCAACAAGGAATTGTAGGATGCAATTGCCCATCAGTCATGTGTCCCCAGCATGACCGATTGCACAATGAGTCGGCGGAAGTGTTTCAGATTTCTACCTTGCACTTCTACCTTGAACTGCACACATTGAGTCAAGCAACAGGCTTTTAACCCACGTGTCATATAAACCATGGGTGGGTCACAATGGAGGCCCTAAGGAAGACCAATTTCCCCCCCTCTACCTCACACAGGCTCCAGAAATGCCTATTTTCAGACACACACACCCCAAAAATAATGTAAACACAAAGTGCCTTGATTTCATTATTTGCAAAAACCACTGCTGCTGGAGACCTGCAAGGATGAAACAAGGATTTGCTTTAGCAAATCAAATCAAATCAGCTTTGAACTTTTTAAAAAGGGGGGGAGCTAGGATAAACTTAAGGGCTGCAAAAATACCCCTGTGGGCTACTTGTGGCCCATCCCTGATACAAACTAGTGGTTCTGGTTCAACAATAAGGACACAACAATCATCTCTGTGGGGTGCAAAGGTTTCATTCCATTCAGTTAGAAACCATTTGCCCGTAGTATTCTTGCAGGCAGATTCTGCACTAACTACAGCTTCTAAAAAATCATCTTCAAGGGCAGCCCCATGTATAATGTGCTATGGTAATCCAACTGGAAAGTTAGTTTCTGACAAGGAATGTTTGCTGTGGGTAAGCCATATCAGTGATTTCCTGGAACCAGGGTCACTATGTTGGTCTGCAGCTGCAAAAGCAACAAAGAATCTTCCAGCATTTTAAAAATTAAAAAGTGTTATCTGGCATAAGCTGATGGGAACTATACCATCTGGTACTTAACGCCACATTAAAAGTTTGTGCTAGATAAAACATTTTAATAGCTTCATCCCACTGAGGCTACCTAGGTCTTTAGTGGCAATGGCTATTTTGAAAGGATTGCAATGCCATCCACCACAGATTGACCTCACCTCCTGGGCCTGAGAACCACTCTTCCACATACCCCATGTCTCATTAAAATTCAGGTTATAAGAATTCATTCATCCAGACACCACCAGACAGAAATTCATAACCTGCACAGGTTACCTGACACCGATGACTAAGAGAAAGCTGAATGTTGTGAGGTAAGCACACTTCACTCTTAAACTCTCAGATGACCTCTCCCAGTTTCACAATAATCTCTTAATTCATGAGTATTTACATATGCTAATTTGCTAGATTTCAAATGGCTCTCCGTGGCTAGTATCCTACTGGTATTCTCAGGCTACGAATCATTGAATCAGTTCTTGAATGGCAAATCAACACTTAAAAACCATCTGATTTAATTAATGGGTCTACTACACTTGGGATGAGCAATGGGATACCCTGCCTATGAGGACAAGACACATAACTAACTTTTCATTTCAGCCTCACTGCCTCTGCGATGAAAATTACAGCTTTTTCTCTATGATGCGCTTAACTTTCTTCGAATTAAATAGGCTTCAAAATGGCTGAACTTTAATTGGTTTATGCCTATTTTTCTAATTACAATTTTGACTTGATGGAAAGCCATGCTTCCTTTACACTGTAGAGTTTACAAAAAGCCCTAGTAAGGTGGTCACTATCTTGCACTTTTAAAGGCAGAGCAAATGGAGGTTAAACTAATACAATTTCTCAAACCATCCAACACATTTATGGTTCTGAAGGTACTGAAGTACATATTGTAGGTTACAATTATAGTATGCCATTCACTGGGCATAAACAACTCTCAAGAACTCCATTCTGCTTAGCAGGAACCAATTTACTGACTAGAAGCCCAAAAACCGTGCATCTAATTCTGCAGGGCTATGGCAAACCGATTCTGAAACTAAGTACTGTAGCCTGTAATATGGAATGAGGAAAGAATGGCTTGAAGTACATATTGTAGGTTACAATTATAGTATGCCATTCACTGGGCATAAACAACTCTCAAGAACTCCATTCTGCTTAGCAGGAACCAATTTACTGACTAGAAGCCCAAAAACCGTGCATCTAATTCTGCAGGGCTATGGCAAACCGATTCTGAAACTAAGTACTGTAGCCTGTAATATGGAATGAGGAAAGAACGGCTTACAACAATGACTGGGCACACCTATTTTGAACTTTTTCTTTGAAAAGAATTAGCCTCCGGAGATATTAGCACTGGTCTAAAACTATCAGTTTGATGCAATTATTCTACCACACCATTCTGAATACATCAGATATTCTCTGATTTCAAAAGCTTAAGTAAGGTATGGCTTAGCACTTAAATGGGAATAACAAGCAAATTCAGGTAGGACTAGGAAAGACTCCTGCCTAAAACCCTTGAGAGCTACTGCCAGTGAGACCTGAGAGTGCTAAGCTAAATAGACCATTAGTGTGATTTGGCATACGATTATTTTAAGAATATTAAGCACTGTGCCGCCTATACAAGAATATTAAACACCAAATCCATCTTGCAAAAGTGTTTTATTTCAACAAAAAATAAGACACTGACCAAAATCCTGTTGCTTGGCATAGTAAAGCACACTGGAGTATATCCATTCAATCAATGGGGATTTAGTGAGTCAACTCTACTGTAAGCTTCACTGATTCAAATGGGTCTATTCCTACTGTGACTTACTATGCCTAAGTTAGTTACACCTAAGAAAAAAAGAAACAAAATATCCCCCCTCTAGTGGTCGAAGGCGGAATAGCAGCTTCCCATTAGTTTCTATGGACGGAAAAGAGCAGATACGGATCAAATGGTTCTCAATGCATTCCTATGGGAAATGCAGATTTGACCTGAGAACTTTTTGACTTGAGAACCGCCTTCCAATACGGATTAAGTTCTCAAGTCAAGACCCCACTGTATACTAAGCAATAGGCCATTTGGGCCATTAAGTTACAAGAACTGTAAAGTAATCATGAACACACTTGTTCTTAAATGTCCACTTCTGTATTATTATTCATCACTAAGCTTACCCTGATGTACCACTAATCCACAGTCTGGATCATGGGCAACTTGCAATAAAATTTCTTCAACATCTCTGTTCTTCCCTGGAGGATCCATGAGAGATGTTATTTTCTGCTGCAAGGCCCTTGGCAAAGTCATCAGTTGTGTAAATTGACCTTCCGGACTCTTATCTATCTAAAGACAGAGATGAATAAGAAAATGCATTTTGGGAACAATTTTAGTTTCAGCAGCCAAACTTTGCAATCAGACTGCTGATTTTGCAGTCTATTCACGCTCTTTGTCAAATAGGCACACACACAAATATCACACGCTGCAAAAGAAGGGAAATGAAAATGTCAGGGATGTTTGTCCACTTCTATTATTCTGACCTACAACATCTCTCCAAGATGCAAAGCAAGGTTTGCTCATATCACCTGCTCAATGATTCCAAGTTCAATCCAGGATGCATGGATTGAACTTGGAAATGTCCCAGTGCAAAGCATTATTTCTTATTTATTTATTTATTTGGTTTACATACCGCCCCATTAGTGCAAAGCACTAATTTGCAACAACTGATAAAACATACAAGCATGTGCTTTACAACTAGGCACACCTGCTTCTACTGGCTCTGCATTTTAAATATTCTAACAAAACAAATAAACAAACCTTCATATTCATCCTGTTATTTCCAATACTTACTCAAACACTCATAGTCTGAAATCCAGTAGCAAATCATAACAAGAATTGACCCACTGAATCAATGGAACTTATGGAAAACTTGACTCCCCACTTATTCAACAGGCCCACTCTGGTTGTAACTTGCTTAGTGGATTTCTGCCATAACATTTCACACGACTCAGACTTTGCAGGTTTTATTCCTACAACTCGAGCAACGTCTTTATATTAAAACAAGAGCTGGTATAACATAGACAGGAAAAGTGACAAGTTTAAATCCCATTTTAGCCATGAACTTGACACTTTCCAATATAAGACCACACTAGACATCCCAGGCAGGTGTGAGCAATCTTATATGGGGGGGGGGGGGGGAGAGGGAAGGAGGGGACCTCAGGCCCTGGAACTAAAGCTGGCCCTCTTGGGGCCAAAGACTAGGATTCCCCAGACGGTCACACCCTGTTCCCCAAGATACCACCATTTGGCAGTTTCCCCAGATTCTGCACATCTTACCAAAAAACCAAACCAAACCTCCACAATCAATTCAGTGAATTCCCTATTTGCATATGTTGCATGTGAATGAGTTTGCATGAAAGAAAAATCACTGTGCACTAACTCAGGATTTCTTCAACTCAACAGCAGCCAAATTTTGTCACATAATATATTATACCTACAGAAGTTGCTGCATCGAACATGTTTTATTTCACTTCTGAAAGACTGCTGTCTTATCTTGGTGACAAGATTAAACAGCAATCTTTCATGCCACAAAACATCTTTCCTACATGCCCCCCCGCCCATCTGTGGACAAAATGAGATTTTTTTTAGCAGTGCAGGTACATTATAGTTTTTCAGGTATGTAACTTATAAACTGATATACAAAGGGCCTCTGGTCAATGTTCTAAGTTCTATCCTTGTACAGAAATACACAATACTTTTAATTTCTAACTGCCAGAAGCCAACCAGGTTATGTTACTTTCCTGACATCTGTTTTAAAACAAGTTCTATGAGACAAAGTCCAAGTTACAATCGCAACTCATGATTTGGTAACATAAACAGCCCAGGTTGGTACTACTTACCTCCCTAACACATGACACAATTATTCAAATGGAAGAAACAAAATGGGGAGTCATATTCACTACTGAAGCTGCAGGTACCAGCTCACTTAAGCCATCCATTCAAAGGAGAAAAGGGGCAGGAAATAGGCACCAACAAATACAATATCATGAGTCGATAATAAAACGTAATGACCAACTTACCTCCATTCTGCCCAGATGGTGCTTGTATACCACTTGTGGGCAATCTTGCAGCATGTTACTGTATAGCTTCTGAAAATGTACCATGTTTGGCTTCACTATGTTCATAACCTTTGACTTATCTTCTCCAATGATCATTCTGAAGTCACCTGAAAAAAAGCAAGGTGCATGTTTACTAAACAGATTCTTAACCATGACTGCAAAGGGGTGGCATTAACTACTAATGGTAAAACCACCCTTTTGGATGTAACACTTCCATTTTCAAAAATGAAAGTAGGCAGAAAGGAGTATGCAATCCCAGGGAAAGCTCCCAGACTCCTAAACGAAGTAAAGAATACTAACAACATTGCATCAGTGTTGTGGCTGTTTCATTAATCTTAAACACCAATCAAACTCATGAATTAATGAGAGAGACAGAGATTGATTGAATGTGATACAGCAAACAAATGGAGAGACTTGGACTGGAAATCAAATTCTTTCCTTCGCCAAGAAGCTCAGGAAGCCATTTTGCTATCCTTATTAACACATCTGTCATACTGGTGTTGTAAGAATAATGGTGAGAGAATAACCCCGTGTTGGCCCTTTAAGCAGAAATGAGGATGCTGTGGACCTACAAAGGGCAATGCAGTATGATGATTATCCCTGACAATTTCCAAGCCTGCTGGGACCAAAAATTGTAACCCAACATCTCTCTGTGTGTGTGCAAGTGCTTCTCTAGAACAACAAAAACTAAAATGACTCCCCCAAACTAGCAGAAAATAAACACACTTGTTTGTGTTTGTTAACACATTCAAGGGGGTAACTTTCCTTTAAAATCTTCTTTTCCAACCTGATTTTTAAAGAATGACTCATCTTCCTATCACACTGAATCAAATTTTCCTTAACCAATAGTTCTCCTGGACGCTCATATAGGCTACTAAACCAAGGGTCAACACTGGTTTGACTTTGAGCCAGTTCCCATTTATTTTCATGACAGATATTGCCCTTCAGAGGCCACTGAACTATAACTTAAAGCCAGGTTCCCCAACTTCTTACCCTCCACAGGTTTTGAACTCTAGCCCTCGTCATGCATGATCTTTGATCATGCCTGGTTGAGGCTGTAGACAGTCTAGAAGACACTAGGTCGAGGAATGCTGACTCAAAGAATTATCTGGACCTTCATTTGAAGGGTTGTGCACTTCAAAATCCACCTGGTGCAATTCTGGGTTCTCAAACAAAGCGCAAACAAATCAGCCCACTCAAAGCTTCAGCAGAGCTAATCTGTTTCATTCTTACTTNNNNTAATAATAATAATAATAATAATAATAATAATAATAATAATAATATGATGATGATGATGATGATGATGATGATGATGATGATGATGATCTTTGAACTGCAGAGGTGGGAGGGACCCGATGAATCAGCAAGTTCAGCCCCTCTCAAAGAGGGACAGTGGGAAATTGAACTCCCGACCTAAGCTACTGAGCTATGGATCCTCTCTTCATGTATCATGAAAACAGTTAAAAGTGAAAGTTAAAAAAATGTTTCCTGTCACATGTAGAGCAAGAGAACCATAAGGTATAACTTCAAACACAGTTTTATTGATTTCACACCAATTTAGTCCCCCATATAAAGATGTCATTTTTTAGATATCTTAAATAGTTGAAAAGGAAGTGACTTCTCATTTTTCCCTCTGCTGAAAGTTGGCTGTTATCATGGTTATTTTCTCTCTGGAAGTAGCATCTGGACACAATTACGCTGCATTAAACCCTGTCTCCAAAATTCTTCACCAAAGAAACTACTTACCTTCCTACACTTCTTTTCCCACTTCTTTTTCCTTAAATGCTCAAGTGTAACAATCTGGACTTTTCATTTAAAAATTTAACTGGCCAAAGTATTTTATCCATGTATACGAAAACAAACAGAACAGAACATTGATGTGTTGTTTCTAAGTCAGGTGCACTGACATGAAGCTGTAACAGGTATAACATGCTGGTTCTCCTACAGAATGTGCCTTAAGGTTTCCTGAAACAAAATTACTTAGCCTTGTCTAACAGAAACTTACCCTAGAAAAGGTCAGAGATAGACTGTTAAAGGATTTCCTTTACTACATACAGTACAACATAATATGACCACTCATCTTTGAACCAAGCTGTGCCAACAGGGCTTGTTTACAATTCCAAGACCATAACTACAAACTACTATACATAGTCTTGTGGTTGTCCATCTAGAATTAAAAATATTATGCAATGAACCAAAACTTGTCAGCTCAACTTGGCATTACAAATCTGGCACATGTTGCTGTTAAATGCCAGGTTGGTTCAAAATAAACCTGAACTAATATTAGAATTAGGAAAAGGCCAACCTGATGTGTATAACTGAAACCTCCGTGGGAGGGGTAGCCCCTTCCCAGCTACCCCCCAGGATATCAGATCCAGCATCATGGCAGGGCAGGGGCACTGCTGTAGTCCATGGAAACGCCATTAATGCCAGCAGAATGTTGCCCGGGTGTGGAATGTCTTCACCTCATGCTGGACCACTGGGTGTGGTGTTGTTGGTGTACAGATCCTCCTGCAACCCAACATACCCCCTACCAGATTCAACAGAACGTCTCTGCTGCTGTGTTGAGGTCCGCAGGGGATGCTATGTGGGTCCTCGAGCATTGTCTGGGATAAATAACAAGGGCCAATAAGCTGAAACTGAATCCAGATACAACAGAGATTCTACTGCTGAGAGGATATCAGACTGGTTACCTCACTCCCATGAAGGATCAGGTCCTTGGACTCAGCTCTCTCTATGGAGGTGCAAATACCTGTTGTGCTTTTTACCAATTTTTATTGATTGCTCAGTTGCACCCCCACCTGGACAAGAAAGGCCTAACAGCAGTGGTGAATGCGTTGGTAATCTCTAAAATAGAGCTCCCCTTGAAGTCAGTATGGAAACTTGGTTGATCCAAAATGAGGCCGCAGACTGATTAAAGGTACCAGTAGAGATGAACACATCTCCCCATCTTGGCACACCTTCACTGGCTCCCTCTTAGTTTCTGTGTTCAATTTAAGGTGCTGGCTACAACACCTTGATATTGGGCGAACTGTCTCTTCCACAAAACAGCTACCCATCCACACACTCCTTGATGTTATGAATTGTAACACCCAAGGAGACCAAAGAAGTCAGCATGAGGAACAAGAGCTTTTTCAGTGGTGGCCCTTTCCCTCAGGAACAAGCTGCCGACAGAGGTTAACCAATCACCATCCCTCTCTGTTTTTAGGAAGCTAAGACGAAATTACATAAAGCTGTCATCTGCTAGTGCAAATACTGTAGTAAGATGTTCAAATAGATTTTAATTTGTGTCTTTTTATTTAATGGTAGTTTTAGCTAGCAACAGAGTTTATTGTATTTTTTCTATTTCTCATAGAACACGGGAGCGCATGATTTTATTGTTTATTGTGAACCACCCAGAAAATGACAACAGTAATAGGGCAGCACAATAACGGAATTTATTTATTTATTTATTTATATTTGTTTGTTTATTTATTTAAAATCATGAATTGTGATGTACATTGCTATCAGTATCTGCAGCTGCTCTTTTTTCTTTTGGCTGATACTGGATTAAATGTTGAATTGTACGTATTTTGTTCTCTGCTGTTTTTCTCCCCACAGGAAGTGTGCTATATGATATGAGTTGCAATCGTCTATTGAAATTCAGCCACCCCCTACTAGGTGTCCTGTTCCACACGCTCTTGGGTTTGAGTGCATGTACCTGAAAGTGGGTGTGGTGTACTGCCACCTCGATGCACAACAGTCTTGCTGCCTGAGTTGGCTCAGCTTCAAAGGCTCCTGGATGAAGCAGATTGTCTAGATCCATTTCTTTCTGGCTTCAGGCCTGGAGATTGTTTGGGTCGCCTTGATGGATGGCCTACCCCGGGAACTGGATATAGGGAATATGTCCTTGGTTCTGCTGGATCTCTGTGGTTTTCAATACCATGAAAGCCACAGACCATGATATCCTTCTGGGGGTGCCTTTCTGGGATGGTTCTTGGAGGTACAGTAGTTCCAATCCTTCCTTGATGGCTGAATTCTGAAGATCGTTTTGGGGGAATCCTGTTTGACATCCTGGCCACTGGCTTATGGTGTTCCCCAGAGTTCTGTTACGCCTCCCATGTTATTCAGCATCCACATGGAACCACAGGAGAGGCTGTCCAGGGTTTGGAGGATCAGTGCCATCAGTATGCTGAGGACACACGACACTAATCTCTCCTTCCCATCGGATTCCAAGGAAACTGTTCTGTGCTTAGACCATTGCCTGTTGTCTGTAATGGAGTGGATGAGGGTTTAAAACTGAAACTTAATTCAGACAAGACAGAGGTGCTCCTGGTCAGTCATAAGGTACATCAGGGGACAGGGATTCATCCTGACCTGGATGAAGTTACACCCCTCTTGAAATGTCAGGTTCACAGTCTGGGAGTGCTCCTGGATTCAACCCTGAGCTTGGATGTCCAGGTCTCATCGGTGGCCAGAAATCCCTTTGCTCAGTTCAAACTGGTACGCCAATTCTGTCCGTTCCTTGAGATGTCCAGTCTGGCCACCATTACACATGCCTTAGTTACATCCTATTTGGATTACTGCAATGTGCTCTATATGACAAGACTTTGAAGAGTGTTTAGAAACTTCAGCTGGTTCAAAATGCAGCAGCCAGACTGTTAACTGGTGCTGGTTATAGTCAGCATGTAACTTCCTTATTACAACAGCTTCACCGGCTGTCAGTCCATTTCCAGGAACAATTCAAAGTGCTGGTTGCTACCAATAAAGCCCTACGTGGCTTGGGTCCAGGCTATTTGAAGAATCATATAACCTCACATGAGCCTTCTCAACTTTTCAAATCTTCAAAGAAGGCTTTGCCTGACGTTCCACCACCTTTCCAAGCTTGTTTGGTGAGGACACAAGAGAAGGTATTTTCAGTGGCTGCTCCCAGGCTTTGGAATGTGTTGCCTCAGGAAGCCACATTAGCCCCCCCTCTCTTTTTTTCTGTCATCAGACAAAGTCTTTCCTTTTCAGATAGGCTTTAAAGCAATGTGGGTGTCTAGGGAATACTGTATTATGAAATTTAGATTTTTAAAAATGTTTTCAAAATATTTCTTTTTAATCTTGAGTAACATTTAATTGTGTTTGAATGTAGTTTAATATACTTTTTAAAACCTGATATTGTATAGCTGCTTTGGGTCTCCTATGGGGACAAAGGCAGCATATAAATAATATAAATAAACAAACAAGGGGATGTGTTCCATTGTACCTTATATTTCTTGGGGGGGGGGGAGGAAATTACCCTGCCTTTTAGATGACTACAAAGAAGTTTAAAATATAATTGGCAAGCAAATATCAAAAACATGCAGACCAATATAGGACAGAAAACAATTAACAGGAGCAGTAACTAAAGCCAGCAACTCTCTAAAGCAGGGGCAGGGAGCATCTGGGAGTAGTGAACAGTGCACTGAACCCCATGAAACCAGAGCCTGGGCCATTATTTTTAGAAAGGAACTCATCCTGTTGCTCTGGGATGAACAGATAACCACGCTGTTTCATCTGCAAGAGTAATCTGTTTCGTTGCCTATGAAAACACTGCACTGTCATCATGACAAGCTCGTAAAATGCAGGGAGATACTCTCCTGTTCAATTCCGATACGACAGCTTGATAACACTTTTGAAAAATACAAAACACTTTAAAGCTAATGGCATAACACAGTAGTTCTAAATCCTTCCTTGAAGGAATTCATATCAGTCACCTGATATTAGAACCAAGAGGAAAAATACCCTTGCTAAGTAACTTTTAAAAGTAATCATGAAAACTATTGCAACAAAAAAGGAACCTGGTAGCTGTTTATTGTGCTACTTTTGCCTACTTTCAATTAGTTTATTTCCAAGATCTGCCTGGACCCCACCAGGGGTTGGTAGCAGCTGCAACAGCTTTCTGTGGTACAGGAAAGATGCATAACAGTATTTCCTTCTCCTATGGAAGGGAAGGGTCCTCCTCCCCCATTATGGTGGTACCGAGCAGGTTGTCAGCAGCCCAGTTCTGCAAGCAGTAGCAAATGAGGTGGGAAACGGGCTATAAAATCAGCCTAGAAAACAGGTGGCAAGGAAGGAACCTCTCACCAGGAGGAAGTTTCATAATCTTCTTCCCAACTCATGATATTACACTTCAGATGTTTCTGGGGCAGGTAGGATATCTTCATCTGTTATAACAAAAATAGCTAGAAGTCTAGCAGTACTTGAAATGCTGGCTACTTTTACTGGGCACAAGCCTTCATGTATTGCACACACACTCCATCAGATGCACCTGTTGAAGTGTGGGCTGCAGCCCATGTAAGTGTGTCCCATATAAAGAGTGTTAGCCTTTAAGGTGCTACAGCCCACTGCCTTGCTTATATTTCAAAAGAGCAGAGGCACCCGGCACACTGGGTGCGTGGAAGATCTGGACATTCCAGTAGCTTCGTGGGGAAGAAGGCCATGTATAAACCAAAGGCAAATCCAGCACCATGCTATATGACTTCCTTAGGCTGTTTTTTAAGCTTGCTGAGAGTTAAGTTGTTCATCGGATGTTGTAGAAACTGTTGGCAAGTAAGGCTACCAGCACTGAAGAGAACACATGAACAAGTTATAGCAGAGCCAGTATTTTTCATTTCAGGTGACTACCCTTCTATAGTTCCTTTATAATTTAGTGGCCAAAAAAATAATAATAAAAAGCTGAAATTCATACTAACCAAAATATGAGAGTCCCGCAATCTGCATATAAAGATCTTCTTCAGAGAAACTTTCAGGCAACATAAGAAAGGCTGCTGTGAGTGCACTCTTCAAATTGCTTGTGAGGGCAGACTGCAGCTTTGAATTTTCATTCTGGGTTAGGATTTTAACCTGCAATCAACAGAGAATCTTTAGATAGTGGTTACGTGCAAAAACAGAGTAAAACAACCATGCAGTTCATAAGTGAATACGAATCCCAAAATCATTACAGAGATGCAGTCATCTTCATGGAAGCTGACCAATCCCTTCCAAGTACTTGGAATACTTATCTTTTTTTTGGATTATACCTCTCAGAATTCCCAAAGTCTGCACAACCATACAGACTGGAGGTATCTACCAGTTACAGTCGCTAGAGTTACTGTCCCTAGAATGGTCGTGTGTATCTACCAGTTACAGTCGCTAGAGTTACAGTCCCTAGAGTGGTCATGTAGACCAGATGGGCAGGATACAAATCAAATCAAATCAAATCAAATCAATCAATCAATAAAATAATAAAAGTAATTCTTGCAATCCCTGGCAATAAGATACCAACAAGTGACCATGTTTTATCAGAGCACTCTGCAATTTAATTGGATAAAATTAACACACATACACTCATTATGTTTGTAGGGTCAATTTAATTTGATGCAACCTGTACACAACCTTGTTTAAGTTCATGCACAGAATATAGACAATGATACAACATTTTTCAGGCAGCTATTTCATTGCCTTCCTCCCTACATTTGGTCTCGCAGCCTGCAAGAATAAGTATTGTCTCTAATCTAATTACCAATTTCTGCCTTTAAAAAAATTTCACGAGACAAATTTAGAGCGAAGGAGACAGCTGGTGCATGATTGGAAAAAAATAGACTGCTATTATTACACTGTTTAGTTTTACAAGCATGCAGAAGGAACTTGGGTGAAAGCAAGTCCATGACAAAGGGATGATTATATCCAGAACTTCACAACTGAAGGTATATATATTATTTATTTATTTTTGAACATAAACCTGGAGACCTAAAACGAATCTGCAGGGCATTCAGTATCATTATTCTTCCATTATCTCCCCTTGCATTTGAAGCATGGCTTTTGTTACTGTCATAAAATCTGAACCATCTGAAGAGTAAAAGGTAAACTGGTCCTGAGAGAGGTTATTTGAACACATGTTTTCAATTTGCCCTGCCGCATGTTTTTAAAAGCCCAATTTTGCAAACAAGCATTGCACCCCCAACCCCGGAGGATGAGAAGTCAACACGATCTTCTAGAACTGAAAAGGGCAGCTGAGAAGACAATAGGGGAACACTGTGGAAGGCAGCTGCTTTGGCTGTCTCTCTCCTAACGGCCAAATCACACAGCCAGTTGAATCACTGACTCACTAAACAGCTAGTTTCACCTCCACTGAGAAAAACTCCCTTTATGTTTCAGAAAAGCTTTACCCATAATATGTGCTCTCCTTGGCTGAGTGGGGAATCGGGAAGAGGAAAGAAACAAACAAAAAAGGCTGTTAATTCACATCTGACTCCATTTGCCCTATCATTTCATATTTGAAAGTCAGAACAAGCAGGCCCTTGTTCTGTTTTAAATGACACATGTCTCCATGTATGAGTTGATTAAAAACAGAGAATGTAGACCAATTCTAAACATTTTACGGCACAGCAACTTCTACTGAATGTTGTGCTGCTTAACACACATATCTCAGCCAGAGTTTCCTAACTCAGAAAAAGTGAAGACTTTAAAAACTGTCCCTGTCTAACATTTATGTATAATGCCATTCCCTTGGCCCCTCCACACACACTTACTTTTTACCATGCTAAGGCCCTGTCCCAGAGCATTTAGACATTTGCATTCTTTCAATGAAAAGTCATTGCATGTTCCATGTTACCTTCCTCAAAGAACAAGAAACATACCGTAGTGCCCTTTCAATGAAAAGTCATTGCATGTTCCATAATGTTACCTTCCTCATAGAACAAGAAACATACCGTAGTGCTTGGAAGAAAGAATTACTACAGTATACCACAGAAATGAGCACACCACCTCACATGCGCTGTCCCGTCAAAATAATGCGACACGTTTGCTGCAGACAGGCAGACTAAAGACTTGGATTTCTGGAACCATGTCCTGTGGGCCGGTAAGACCAATATAAATTTATTTGGTTCAGATGGTGTCAAGAGTGTGTGGTGGCAACCAGGTGAGGAATACAAAGACAAGTGTGTCGTGCCTACAGCTCACTGAAGGGAACCATGAATGCCAACATGCACTGTGACATAATGAAGCAGAGCATGGTCCCCTCCCTTTGGAGACAGGGCCACAGGGCAGTATTCCAACATGATAACAACCCCAAACACACCTCCCAAACAACCACTGCCTTGCTAAAGAAGCTGAGGGTCAAGGTGATGGACTTTCTAAGCATATCTCCAGACCTAAACCCTATTGAGCATCTGTGGGGCATCCTGAAATGGAAGATGGAGGTGTGCAAGGTCACTAACATCCACCAGCTCTGTGATGTCGTCATGGAGGAGTGGAAGGGGACTCCAGTGGCAACCTGTGAAGCTCTGGTGAACCCTGTGCCCAAGAGGGTTAAGGCAGTGCTGGAAAATAATGGTGGCCACACAAAATATTGATACTTTGTGCCCAATTTGGACATTGTCACTTAGGGGTGTACTCACTTTTTTTGCCAGCTGTTTAGACATTAATGGCTGTGTGCTGCATTATTTTGATGCGACAGCACATTTACATTGTTATAAAACCTGTATACTCACTGATTTAATATCCTCTAAACATGAAAGAGCAATAGATATCTATTGTAGGCTCATAGAGCGGAATGTATAGGAAAAACCTCTTGTGAATAGAGCTGTGGCAAGTGCGCTAGGAGTGGCTTGGAAGAATGGGTAGGAAGTGCGATGTCTTCTCATTTCTGGAGCTATTAGCCACTCTCACCTGCATTCTTGGGGCCTAAATCTTCACGTGAATCTCAACTGGAGTGGACCCACAGGAAAAAAATTGCTGAATGAGTTACTAGCATTTATGGAAATCCCATTGATTCAATGGGCTGATTCAGGTTGGAACTACTCAATGAGTTAAATTCCCCCCCCCCAATTTTTTAGCATGCCCTAAGATGTATTAAAGTGAAAAGAAATGTAAAATTTACTTAAAAGCCACCGTTGGGATGAAAACAGCGACTACTCTGCTTATTCAGTTCTCTACCATGAAGTTATATGAGAAATTTTGGCTCATCAAGCTTCTGTGGTGTCCAAAGCAAGAAGCCAACAAACTCTTGAGACCAAGCCAGAAGGGCCTGGGAAGAAGAAAAGGGTTCACTCTCCTCAATAGCCAATTGTGCCCTTCTAGAGATGTCCTCATCTGAACTGTGTAGATCATACCTGGCACTGGTGCAAGAGCAGATCAAGCCAAGGAAAGCTAACCCACAGAGGAGTAAAACCTTGGCTTGATAGTCTCACCTCCATCACCAAATACATATTAAGGGGGGGGGGACAGATATATGCAAATATCAACTCTTAATTAGTCCACACAACTGAACCCTATGAAGTATTTTTCTTCAGTAATTACAACACTCAGCAACAGGGGGGAAGTTGGGATAGTAGTTCAACGGCTTATTCATATCCTACTTCTCACTGCTCGATTGATTTTAAAGGGGCTAAATTTTCAATATTATGTCTGGTGGCCTGAATCCTATTACTTAGGGCCACCAAATATCAAGAGAAATCTCAGCAGCAAATTGCCACAAATTGAAGGAGTTGGTTACATTTGTATTTCTTGTTGCATGCCAAGCCACATGATATAGGTGTATGACAGTAAACATGTAACTGCCAACTTCTTATGTGCCATCAAGCCAGAATTGACTTGTAGCAAGCTTAATAAAGTTTTCAAAACAAGTGAGGTAATTTAAGGAGTGTTTTACAAGTTCTACATCCCACTCTCAACAGACTTTCTATGGCAGTCTCAGAGAACTGAAAGCCCAGGTCCATCACTCTGCCCGCCACACTACACTGGGTTCCTCGCCAACTGCTTAATTAGTGGTGATTTGCCACTGAAGTTCATGCTGCCATCACTCTGTCCACTACACTACACTGGGTTCCTCGCCAAATGCTTAATTAGTGATTTGCCACTGAAGTTCACGCTGACAGACATATGCCAGTGCAATTATCCAAATGGATTCCAGTCTTTATTTCACATTCATCCTATGGTAGAAATAATTGAAAGAAAGGTACTGCATCATGAAAAACAAAAGAAACAGCAATGTTTTTTTGATAACGGGACTTTCTGTTTGAACTGAAGACCAACAGATGCAGCAAGTGGTTACTGGGGGAGCAGCAAATATAAATAGATACTCCAAGAGTCCCCGTCTTTTTTATGTTTATATTTAGATTGCTATTCTTAGGTATTCTTCTCTCCTTTCTCTGATGTTTCTTTTCTCCTTATAAAAATAGTTCCCAAATGACATGTATACATAGATGCAAGCATCAGAAACTTTGCTAAGTTTAAGAACCTTCTCTCCTTGTATAAATGGATTTCCAGCATAATACAGAGTCACACGTTCAGGCACTAGATTGATGAATTCTGCCATTAAAATTCCCAGCAATTCTAAAACTTTCAAGCAACTGATTCCCAGTTGCACAATAATCAGTTATCCCCTCTTCTTCATGCAGCTCCCTGCACATTTTTCTCTTTTAAAAACCCTTCTTCAGATGCCTGGGAAACCCCCTGGGGGATATTTTTAGTGCTTCAGGAGAGGGAAGAAAAGAAAGTCTCAGTTCTGTCGGCACAGGAATGAGAAACGCCTCTGGATCTTGTCCTAGAGTGGCCGAGTCTGTGAGAACTCAATAGCAGTCATAGCTAAACATTTAACCCATTATCAGTCTCCGGGTTTTTTCCTTAGTTGCCAGGCCTTTCTCGAAATTTTCTTTCTCTCTTTCTGCTGCAAGCAGACAATAGTTTCATACGATATAAAACAGAAATATTACTCACAGCCTTAGGAAGAGGATTCATCATCAAAAGCTAGCTGTCTGTTGTTTGCTTGATTTTTTTAAAGTAGCCTATTTAAGGTATCACCTGCTCCTTCATTTGTATTACACACAGGGTAAATGTCAACATAAACACAAGTCAGTTTTGAATACACAGTTGTCAGAAACTTATCACTTGAAGACTATCAATACATACTTTGAGCCTCATCTCCAATTAAAAAGTACTGTACCTGTACTACTGTTCCATTTCATTGCCCACTGAATTTAGCGTTCCCTTCTCCTTTTGCTCAACTCTGCTTCCACCTAGTGGTCAACTGAAATGTTGACACTTCCCCCAGACAAAACTTCTCCATGCATAGGAACAGAGAAGGCATTTTAAAACCTCACCATTTCTTAATGACACCCAAGAACTCCTGGAATGTGTGGTAGAACTGATACAGTACTTAGATTTCCACCTGGAATAATCTCTTCACAGTGCCTCACCATGCAACTTAATGGGTATATCTGGGATGTCATTATCACACAGCCTAAATATGGTACTCCAAGCTCCTTGAAAGGAGTGGTAAGACACTAATGCAACACATATATTTCCAGATTTTGTTTCGCAAAGATGTAGTGATTTAGGATCTGCTCTCTGGAACCTAGCCTAGGCTTTTCCAGTCTGTCATTCTCCAGATGTGCTGGACTCCTGTCAAAGACTGATGGAAGGTACAGCGCAATACATCTGGAGGACACCAGGCAGAGGGAAAATGATCCCTCTCATCCACCGCTAGTGGGAAATGACCACTAGCCTCCTTCACTACATTCCAAAAGCCACTGCTGCCTACCTATCAGTATGTTTCATGATCTGAAAAGAAGTATTCACAAAAAGGGGACAAAAGGCTATTTTGATGCTATTATTGACGAGGCCACCTTATTTTGACAAGGAAAGCAGTTATGGGTACCTCAGTCCCAAAGGGGAACCTGATCTGGAATGGGAAGCCTGTGGCATTTTCCTGCTGAAAAATCACCCAGCTGCACAATGTTCTTTGTTCCCAAAGGAGCAGCTTACTGCTAACAGGATGCTCAAAAGGAAAAGAGCTGCTTCAGGTGGTAGAGAATTTGCTCCTACTCCAGAGTGATCTGGAGTAGGAGCCAATTCAGCAAATTCTCTACTCTCTGGAGTAGGAGCACACAGCAGAGCAATACGGCTAACTTTTTATCAAAGCAGATGCAGTGAATTTAAACATACTGGCTGTAAATAAAGTAACATGTTGTTTCACCCTCAGACGGAACGCAATATTGATTTTATTAACAAGTCAAAACACTGTAAAACAGGAGAGGTCTCACTAAAATGCAAGAGTGCAGTTCACTCCCACTAATTCCTGTTTTGCCCCATCCCTTATGTTAAATACTATTTTCTGCAGCCCGTTGTTTCTGTGCTTTCAAATAGACAAACAAGCTGAACACATACCGGCTTTTGCAGACGTCCTGCTACATAGAGAGTCTTCCAGTGAAGCAAATCTTCTATAAGTGCATCAGTACTAATTACACCGTATTTTATAACCTGAAACATGGGAAAATGACAACTGAATGACATATTAAAGACAAACCTAAATCTATCATAACTGAGGATAGGGTGATGAACACACACAAAGGCTGTCTCTCTGAAGCAGTCTTGTTCAGGTCATAGTTCATAAAGCATAGAAGAGGATAGTGTCTGACCAGCTCCTGCTGAGAACAAAAGGCATGTGGCCCTTCTCTTTTGGAAGGAACACCTTTCCTGTTCTTCCATGAGCCCCACAGCTCAAGTGAAAACAGGTCCAGGTTCTCTTGGATGCCCTTCAAAAAAATTTCTTAATCCTGAAAACCCTACCTCATCAGAAAGTGTCCCAGAGCCAACCAAGAGGCTGGAGGGCTTGGCACAGAGTGACAGAGAAGGCTCTTCTTAGATATGATGGGGAGACAACTCCCGGAATTGTCCTGTTTGAGACTGAAGAGCCTCAACTAAAATTCCCTTCTCAATCCTGGATTAAGTAGTCCTGGAAGCCATGGAACAGAATGTGCAATTAAATGTAACAAACATTTCCCATAGAGAAACGTTTCCTGTTTTCTCCTGCTGACTGTAGACATTTTAAACACATCTTGGTTTAAAGATTCAGACAATAACAAACTATTTATAGACAATATTAGTAAGTAGATATTTGCAGAATAAATAAAAAATTATACCAATTGAGAAAGAATGAAATCTTAATGTCCCTTGCTTCTTTGTGGAAAATTTGGCTTTTCCAACCTACAGCCTCCATTAAAAACAAGCAAATGTAAGTGTTTCATAGCAAGTAAGTGTTTCATATTTTTGCACATGGTGAGAATATGCAAGTGAATGACGCTGAATGGCTGAGAGACAGCACGTGATACTTCTTGCTACTGTGCAGAGACAGTCAGAAGCCACCAGAAGAGCAAGCTGGAGTCAGTCAGTGTGAGTGAGTGTTCAGATGGACTTTGTTACCGTGTTTCTTCTTGAATTTCTGCTAATAAAACCATTTGGTTATTGTCAGGTCAAATGACTTCTCTATATTATCGCAATGAATTTCGCAACAATACTTTTTGGCTGAGCCTCAGAGTGGACCTCTGGCTGAATTTGAGACATAAAAAAACTGATGCTCTTGATGAGGGTGTATCCTGTTAACAGCAAAAGAAGGCTTCTTCCAATCATCTTAAAAAGCATCGCCATTATAGCAAAGAGTATCTATCAACAAGACCCTTTATGAGAAATTTTGAATAAATATTTGATGCACTTTAGGGTTTTAAATCTCAAGTTAAGTCTGGGTGGTCAACAGCAACAAAAGATATTAAAAGGGGGGCTGCAGTTTTAAAAAAAGGCTAATGTGCTAGACATTTCTCCTAAGTGATAAAGTGCTACACAGTGAACAGAATCCCATTGATTAGTCCTGCTGATATAAGTGTTACATCATGGATTGCCACTGGTCAACATACCCCTCACTGCATGCCAATTGTGTGAACTGGTGCCTGATGCAGGATACAACTGCCAACTCGTTACATCAGGACAATCTGCCACAGCAGTTTACACTACCATTGCATTTATGCTGGCATAACTAACCAATGGGATGCTGGCTGGCCCATTAAAAGCCTACTCTACATGAATCTCTGCAGCAAGCATTCAAAATCATTTGCATTTGTAATTTCTACTTATCTCCCTCTGGGAAATTATAGGAAGCCATATTTTTCAAAAGCAACAGAAAGGGTAAAAAAAAAAGCCATCCTATTTTATAACATCCAGAGCAGTCCAGAAATACCAGATACTGTCTAAGTCCCAACAGAAATACAGTTTCTGCTGTTTAAGAAGTGAATGAGAGGTTTCTGAAAATACTATATGATGGATTTTTTTATTTCTCTCACATTTCTAATGTGCTTTTTAATGGGGGCAAAATCATATAATTTTTGTAACCAAAATACTTTAAAAACACACACACACAAATCCAACTCAACATCAATAAAAACCAAGTTTACAGCTAAATGTTGTTGTTTTGACTTGCTGTAGGCCCTATAGTGCTTAGAGCACTCTCTCAGCTGTTTACAATATAATTATGCAAACAACTTGCTTCCCAACAAGCTGTGTACTCGTACCATACTTGGAAAAATGGAAGGCTGAGTCAACCCAGAGCCAGCGCTCTGAGCCTGTCAGAATCAAACTCAGGCTGTGAGCAAAGGTTTGACTAAATACTGCCATCAAGCTTCTCAATGTAGTTTTCCTAAAACTGACTGCTTGCTATAACCAGTTTGGTATCAAGGCTAAATTTTTTCAAAGAAACAAACAAACAAAAATTCCCAGAAGAATAAAGATCATTTCATAGTTTCTCTTTAGAAGCTGATAGCTGCCAGCCCAAAGTTGCAGCTTATATTACTTACCTTACCATTACAAGGCACCAATGTATTGAAGTAAATTCCTGCTCCATACTTCTGGACAGAAGAGATTGGTTTGGGCCCCAAATACTTCAGGAAAGAATAATGACTCCGATTCTTCAAGAGGTTCATTGAATGCCATGATACAGAATCATCAACAGCAAATACAAAATCCAGCATATTGTTCTACAAAACAAAGGATAATAGTATGCATTGAATTCAACCCGATACAATCACAAGGCACCTGTATGTAAGGTGGGGCATGAGAAGACTGTACCAGTCTTCAAAAAGGCTTGTTGGTCTATTTCAATATATACAGTATATATCAAAACAAACAATGCAACAAAAAGGTAATTTGAAACAGGCTAATAAAGATTGCTGTATCTTTTCTTTTCCTTTTTGATGTATTTCCAAATTATCTAAAAAAACCCGATTGTCATCTTAAAATGATAATTCATTCGATAGTATCTTAATACTGTAAGGTATTGTTTTTGTTTGTATTTGTTCTTAATCATGTTATGAGACACCTTGGGTACTAGTATGAATAGAAAGATAGGTATAAATAAAATAAGTAACTTTTAAAAGGTAATCCCACGTCTGTGTAAAGATCAGTTCATCAAGCAGGTTTGCTCATTTCAGTTCCAGTGGTTTGCATCCCGACTAAGTCAGTCACATACAAGTTCTACTGAAAGCAAAGCAAAATAAGTTGGTAATGAGCAAGGGGAGGATTTCTATGACATGTTATATTTTCTCTGCTATCTACATTTGAGCCCATAAGCAAGTTCAAATACTGTACTTTTCTCTGCAACCTACATTTGAGCCCATACGCAAGTTCAAATACTGTACGTTTATGAGTTCTCACCAGATTACTCATAAACATTTTCAAACTCACCCATAAACTCAAATCTAGGCTGCAAGAAAAAAAAATGACATGCCATAGAAATCCTCTCCCGGGTTAGAAGTGCTTATTCCATAGGGAAGTGTCACTAGCACAGTCTAGATCCAATCTGAATCTTGAAATGTTATCGCTTCAGTACATCACGGATCAGAATTTGACCACACTTTGCAATGAAGAATCCAAGCCTCTGTAGCATTGGCATTTTAAATATAAGCGGCACTTCTAATGCTTGAATCAGGTTTGATATCTTAACAATCCAAAAGGCCCATTCAAAAAAAAATAAAATAATAATAATAATAATTTTTTTTAAAAAAACCCTCTGTTATCGAGTGTAACCTCACAGGCCAACGTTGACAAGCGGGCACATAAAAACCACGCCGGTCCGTTTGACGAAACTCAGAGCCATCTTTCACGCCAACAAGCCGCCTCGCCACGCAATCGTCTTGCACGCTGGATCGGAGGCAACTTGCGCGCCACTTCAAGGAAGAGGGAGGATTCCCACCCAAGTCAAGGGGAGAAAGGGGAGGCTCCACTGCAGCAGCCTCGGGGCAGGGTCTCGCGACGGGTTGCGCGCGCCTCCCCTCCCCCTCGAGGGACCTGCCCCGGGGGTGGTGGGGGAGGTTCCCCGAAGAGGGTCAGGGCGAAGGGCGCCCTTTGCCGCCCGGTCCTCAGCAGAGGGAGGTCTCCCCTTACCTCCTTTTCCGCGGAGGAAGCCCCCGCTTGCTGGAAGACGCCGGAGCCATAAGCAAAGGCGAGGCTGAGCTCTTGAGGGAAATGCGCCAGGATCCGGCGGAGCTTCACCGCCGAGCTCGGCAGAGCCATGCGCGCGACACCCTCGCCTCGCCCGCGCCAACAACGCTCCGCTAAGCAGGAGCAGCCGCGGGAGAGGCCGGGCGGAAAAGAGCGGCCCGGCCTTACTTCCACGCCAGTAACTGAGGAAGCAGGAGAGAAGGAGCACCAAGAGGAAACCACCTATCGAGCCGGTCTGAGTCACAGCGCCCTCTCTGGTAGCCATCTGTATGGCTGTCGGCGGTAATTTCTAACTGCAAGAGTTTTGCGGCATCTTGGAGGTCAACACGTTTGATTGGTGCGAACTTTTACGCGTCGCAGCGCACTTCTTTAGAACAATCTCCGAAAACAGTGGGTCTCTTAAGCGCCTTTAAGTTACTGGTTGAGTGACTCAAGATGTCTGATTCACGCCCTCGTCCAGAAATTCAGAAGGAAGTCCTGTGGCATCTTCAATTCCTCCTTTAGCAAGCTCTGACACGACAAGGTGGGGAATTCGGTTACTGAGGTTTCTTTATTGCTGAGGCTCAATGCAAGGCAAAATGGCATCTGTTGATTTTCTGCTTGTCAGGAGGAGCTAAAAGGCGGAAGAGCCACGCTGAAAAAAAGTGGCATTATATGTGGGAAAGGGGTCTATTCTGAGTTCACAAGCTCCTCACAAAACAAACACACTGATGCCCATTTTACCACATACTGTACACACTTGTGAAATGCCAACACTTTGCATCGTGAAAATAAGTTTGTCCAAAACTAAAATCCTAATGATAAGCAATCTCAAGCAACCCCAGTGCAATGTCTGGTTTTGAAATATTATAGGAATACAAAGGATTTCTGAACTGCAATTCATATTAACTAAACGACCACCAGATCTGTGCTACCACGGTGATTTGGAGCAGGGTACAGTTTGACTTAGTGCAGACCTGGGCAAAGTGCAGCCCGAGGGCCACATGCGGCCCGCGGACAGTTTTGAGCATCAAAACCATTTACTGTACTGTATAGTTTTTTGTGTGTGTGTGTCTAAAGTTGATCAGTTTCTTATCTTTAACATACCGCAAAAAACCTCTTTAGTATTTGTGAAGATTAACAAATTTAAAATAAAAACAATCATGACATCACTGTTTCATTTTATTTTTAAGTAAAGTCGGTTTGGCCCCTGAACACAGTTCAGATTTTTCATGTGCCCCCCCATAGAAATTAATTGCCCACCCCTGACTTAGTGGCTATAGTATGGGACTGGAACTTGGGCTGACATTCCCATGGAGCCACAAAACTCACTGAGAGATCTCTGATCAGCCGCACATTCTTCTTGTTTGACCTACCTTATAGGGTGGTTGTGGTGAAGAGAAACTGAGGAAGTGGACAAATGTTGCTTTGAGATAAAGTGAGGTCAGGCAGGATATAAATCTGACTGCTATGAAAAGCCAAATGGAAGAATATTGTACTTCCATGCAGCTAGCAAGATGACTGAGGAACATTGAATAATGACTTGTATGAAACAGCAGGAGCCCTAATATCATTTTATGGGAACCCTAAGAAAGCCCCTGGAGGTGTTTAGAGCGCAGCACACAGGTGCCATGTAGTATTCATTTCCCACATTTCCTGGGTGTTTCCATTCTTATAGCCTTTTAACCAGCATTTTTTTGTAGCATGCCTCACCCCAACCTTGTTTCTTCAGCATCATTGTTTTAGAGCTGGATGGGACCCTTCATTCTGGACTGTCTCATTATAGGATGTTCAAAGTAAGATCGGCTCAGCAGTGGGTTACCATTGCCTTCTGCACAGCACTAATAAAAATTAGCTTGAGGGTCACTGCTGTTATCTGTCCAAGATCCTCGACCAGCTGCTGCTGAAGTTTCTCCACCCCCATCACCACTGGAGATATCTGCTAATTACCCCTGACAAGGGTGGATAGCTCTTCGTCTGGAGCTGTGGCCATTCTGCCTTGGGTGCCCCCTGCTAGGGGTCCATAATATCTGGCCTCCTGACAGCCTTGCTCTCGGCTTCACTGGCACACTCAAACCTCTTCTTCACCACTTTAAGGTGTGCATTGAAGAAGTCCTCTTCTGACAGGGGTCACCCTAAGTCGGAAGCTAGTCGATGGCACACAACAACCCCCACCTTTGCAGTTTTAGGATCACAACTCTAGATAACCAAACAAACATAGTGCCCTTGATGTATATTGTAACATATACTGGAACTTTCTTATCACACAACTTGTGTGTTACTGTGTTGCTCAAATGAAATATTTTGGTATTTTTACACTTACTTTCTAATCTGCCAAGTTAGCTTTTGTTAAATAATAAATTATGATTAAACTGTCTAACCAAAACTGCTTGATAGATGAAATCCTGCTCAGTAACTACACAGGAATAACTGCTGATGACATAATTATCCCACAACATTATTCTTTAACTTCATTTGTTTAAAGTTTTCTCTTCCCCTGCTTCAAATTCTGAGTCTTCCTAGGGGTTCCTTTTGAGCTGGGTAAGCCTTCTGGTGCCTCTAAACAGGGGAGATGCCTTTCGTATTAGAAAATCGCTGCCAGTTTGATATATTGTAAAGCCTGTAATTATAAAAAGATATGTAATGGGTATTATTATTTATCCACTTATAAATTAGATGTATATGTCACCCACTTGGCAAATGTCTTCAGGATTGGTTAGAATCCTAAAAAACACAAATAGTCAATACAATAATAAAAACAGTCATAACACTAAGGTAACTAATTCCAGACTGGCATTAAAATGTTGTCACATTAACAAGTCAAAAGCCGGCAGCCACAATGAAGAAATGAAAAAAAGGCAAAATTTGATTTTTCTCCAGTGTATGCCTAGATCGTTAGCAATAAAAAAAAAATCCAGTTATGTAAAAGGCAAAATTTGATTTTTCTCCAGTGTTTGCCTAGATCTTTAGCAATAGTGATAAAAAAAATCCAGTTATGCTTGGATTTCAGGCAGTGTCATTCTGTTGGCACACTTTTCTATTTAAGTAAACCAGGCTATCAGAAGCCCTGGGTGATCTGATCAGTGGTGGTAATAATGGATGTAGCTACTGATAGTCATACATATGAATTACTGAGCAAATTCATCTGATTATGCTGTGTAAGGTTGGCTAATGCACCTCAGGGAATACAGGGAACTGATAATTACTCAGCCAGTAGCATACACTGCTGTGAACAAAGCTTAATATGGAAATTATTAAAAATTGGCAAGGAATTCTAGATGGAAAGCTGCTCTTTTAAATACCTCTCCATGGATGGTTAAAAATGAAAACACTAAGGTCAGGAGGGGTGTGGGGCAACTTCATACTGTATTTCTTAACAAAATTAGATGACAACCACAGGCACAGTTTTGAAGTCCAGGGAACCATGCCACACTTTTCAGTGTGGATTTTACGTATTTATTCAAGAGCGAACGTGGCAAGAAATGCTGGGTAGCAGCTGCGGTTTTGGTAGTACATGCCATGAGCTGTAAAGCTAGAGTTCTGAAGTGGACTGTACTGCTTCACAGTGCACACGAGGGGGTCCTATTTTGGATATGACTATGAGCAGCCACTCACAGGCCCCTCCATGAAGAGGCAGAGAGTGTTTGCAGGAACAGGCTCTATTATTGGCGCAAAGCAACTGCCACAGAGCCAATGTGGCTCAACAACAACACTTAAACAGCTAGGGAGTGAACTGCCCTCCCAAACAGGACCAGGTCAACTGGACCAGCCCACAACAGTCTTTTACTGGGAGGAGTGGACACCTCTCAGGTGTGCTAAGCATGGGGTGCTGCCACCAGGGTGTTGGATGCAAGCATTCATCTGTCCCTGGAGCCGATTAGCCTGGGCTCCTGTAGTCACTGCTGGTGGGACCGGCCTCCCATGTGCGGTATTGTTCCTTGGAGGCGCAGCTGACGTCTATGCAGATATGGCTGGGCTTGCCCGAGAAGCGAGGTGTGGAAGGAGGTTGGAGAGGAGGAGGAGGAGGAGGACCAGCTGGAGGCTGCTGGGAATTCTGCCTGCAGGAACCTTGCTGCGGGACCACTTGTCCTTGCTGCTTCCTCTACCAGCATTGCACCCGGTGCTGCTTCTAGAGTTGCTTCACCTCTTATGGTCTCCTCTCGTCCCAGTGTACTTGGGCTGCTTCCTCTGGCAGCATGGAGAACGCTTTGCAGTGCCCGTTGCCGGAGTCCTTGCGATGGATCATCTCCCAGCCAGTTGTTGAGAGCTCCAGCATCAGTGGTACCTCCTGGGCCTTGGAACACCTCCCAGTCAAGGGCATCCGCCCAACGGATCCCCCCCCCTTCTTCCTCACTCTCCTCTTTAAATCCCCTGCCCTCCACGTCAATGCATGTGGCCTCTCAGGCATTGTCTGTGTGGCTGCTGCCAACATCCCCCGTCCACAGGTGACCTGCAGGTTGGGAATCTCACCCTTACTCCCAGGGAGATGAAAAACACACCCTCACCCATAGGGGGATCGGGGCTGGCCCCACAATGACCAACCTATTCCTGGCCCACCTACTGAACAAGCAATCTTGCCCTTCCTCAGACTAGCAACGTGGTAATCCACATGTTGGATTATCTTCACCTCTGTTCACTCAGCTGTATGTAACACAATTGGACTTTCTGTGACTATAGCAACACATTAATTCTACTCTCCATAGCCATCTGGCTTGCTTTCAACACCCCTGTAATTCTCATTAGTTTTTCTTTTAGCTGTTGTTATATCACCCTGGCTGACATAATTATAAATTGCATTCTGTTTACCTCTCAGGTTTCTGGAACATTTGTATGAGCAAAAACCCTTGGAGCAATTAAGAGCAGTTGGTTTTCCAGACTTAGATTATTCAGTAGCTGTTTCTGGCAGATATTTAAATCCCCAGCCTATCAACACAGGCTGGTTATTCGTGGCCTGTAATCTTCAGCTTTGATAACTTTATGTAAATAGGAAAAAAACAGCCCGTAGTTTTTCTGCCTCTGTAATCTGTGTTGCCATTCTTTACTAAGACTACAATCCAATGCATACTTTTCAAGAAGTAAGTCCTCTTCAAGGTTCCCTCTAAGCTGTGTGTGGGTGTGCGCAACTCCACCT